GAGAATTCGAATTTTGTGGGAAAATTCAAATTCAATTGGATATTTAGAGATTTTTGGAAATTGTTTGTTTAGAAAATAATTTGGATAATTACGGGAAAAAAATCTCACCCTTCTAATGTTTGCGGGGCAAAAAAAATTGGAATCGGAATATTTTTTTTTAATTTTCCAAAAATTTCTGGATAATTTTTCAGAAATTTTTTCTTTTGAACAAAAAAAATCGGACGACAAAACAATTTTATTTTTGGGAAAGGTTTTGAAAAGTTTTTCAAGAATTTGAATAGGAACATTTTTTTTACAATTTAAATAGCGTATTTTTTGAGAATATTGAAAAATCAAAAAAGTAAGAAAATTAAATTCGCAAAAATTTCTAGAAAATTATAAAAAAAAATTTCCTATTCAAATTTTTGAAAAATTTTTCAAAACATTTTCCAAAAATACAATTGTTGGACTCCCCATATTTTTTTGTTTCAAAAAAAAAATTCTGAAAAGTTTTCCAGAAATTTTTGGAAAATCTGAAAAAAAAAATATTCCGATTACATTTTTCTTACCCGGTTAACTCCACAGAAAAACTAATTTACTATACTCTCGGTACAAGAGACTGGTGGAAACGAGATAACCGGGGATTTCTACAATTCTCAGCTTTTCCATTCTCCCTCACAAAAAACCGCAACATAATGTCTTCCCAAGTACCTAATTACACCTGAGGGAGGTACAATCAAGTGTTTTTTCGTTTGAAAAATTCAACTCACTTTGCCAACAGTTTTATTGAACGCCGAGCATAAGAAGTTGCCGAAGAAGTATCGAAGAAAATTTCCCTCCAACTTGAAGAATTTTCTCTTGTTGATTTTTTTCCCTTCAGTTCTCCTCACCTCTCATTTCCGGAATAAGGAGGGGCAACAGTTGCCAAGTTTCACAGGTGATTTCTCGCAACTCTCGACGAATTGGCAAGTGCTGTGAAACTTGCCGAAAAACCTCGAAGGCAACTTCCAGAACCCGACGAAAACTTCAATCCATTTGTCTCATCTTTGTCGAATATACCGCGTTCGGATCGTCCCATAGAGACAAATAATTAATTGCAGCCTAGCCCAAGGGACTTCGCGATTCTCTTCCTGTCCGAAAATTTACGCCATCCCTCACAACGATAATAAAAAATCGGAATGCCCAAGTTCTCAACAGAAATCTGCAACAAACTTATTTCCATAAATTCCCGACAATTATCTTGATTCCCAAAAATCCTGTTGATAATAAAGTTTATAATTGATTATAAACTTGAACTCAAGGAATGATTTATTATCGATTATCAAATGATTTCACATGATTCTATGAGTGATTCGATATGATTTCACTGCAAACTGAAAATCCTACGCGTACTTGAATCAAGTCGACGGAGATTTGACGATTTGACGATTTGACGATTCGACATGCCCTGCGGTCCCAAAAAAACAAAAAAAAAATCTTCAATAAATGCTCATTAAATATTCCCATGAGCTCGAGTCATCTCGCACTTGAATCAAGGACAACTAATGACTAGTAGTTAAAAATATACGAATGGTACTGTATCCGCACTGAATGACGAATCGCGTAAATATTTGATTGACACTTTTATTCCTCTCAGTGTACCTTTTTCCTTTGAGTATATGGATTGGAATTGGAATTTCAAAGGGACCGATGAACACCTTCTCCCACGCAATGTCCCCTCAAACAGATTCCGTTGAATGTCCGTTATCCCGTCATGTATATACATGGGAAACAGAATCGATTGGATTTCACAGGGGAAAGGCAGAGTAAAAATAGAGGATAGAATGAACTGAGGTACAACTGGCGTTTCAATCAATCGGATAATAGTCTGTCAATGGATAATGAAATTGGCAAACCATTGTCTTGTGCAGTTGTTCATTAGAATCACTTGTTGTTTTTTCACCGCAACGCGATGAGTTGAATTTTATGGGATCACGTGGCATCTGTTTCTTGAGGTGATGTCCTGGGGGAATTCGTCATGATGCTGCATGTCAAGTTGACAAATTTCACTCGATTATTATTGCGAGGACAAGGGAGAGTTATGTCTCTGGTGTATCAATGCCTCAAGTTCGTGACACATAAATGCTGACGGAGTTGACAGGCTTGGCGCTTATTGTTCTCAATTATGTAGACCAAGTGGATAGCGTGTTCCATGAAAAATCCATTCCGGATCTAGCCTTCAGGGGAATTGGGGGTAATCGTTCACGGTTTTAGGATGATACCCACGTAAAAATTGGGTTCAGTCAATGCGGATGGATAATTCATGGAATAATGAGGGCTGATGAATGATTTCAACTTTTTTTTATCTGAAGTCATTGCTGTAATCATTGTGTATGAAGTGATAAAAATCTTTTGGAAGAATTCAAAATAAACTTTGATTTCGATTCGGTTAGAGAATTTTTGAGTTAAAAAAATTGTAATCGGAATATTTTTTCCAAATTTTCCAAAAATTTCTGGAAAACTTTTCAGAATTTTATTAATTTAAATAGGATTTTTTTTTATAATTTAAATGTCGTTTTTTTGAGAATATTGAAAAATTTAAATAGTCAGAAAACCACAGTATAATTTAAAAAAATTATATTCTCAAAAATGTCTAGAAAATTATAAAAAAAATTTCCGAAAGAAATTTTCCGAAAATTCCTCAAAACATTTCCCAAAAATACAATTGTGGTGTTTCCCGATTTTTTTTGTTTCAAAAAAAATTTTCTGAAGTTTCCCAGAAATTTTTTGAAAATTTGGAAAAAAATATTCCGATTCCATTTTTTTTACCCGAATTCTTACTGAAACAATCAAATAAATTATTATTGATATTTGGATAGAAAGCAGATTAAAAATTTGATATTGAATGGTAATTACCCACTGGTCTGTGTGTACTTAAATTTATTTCCCAAAGTGGTACGGAAAATTCTTCATGAATATTCAAAAAGCCCGGGATTAGAGTGAATACAGCCGAGACAGCAGTTTTTCCAATAAAATTTATTGATAGCGCATTGACGATCGGAATTTAGATTCATAAGCTAATTCGTACGAATGTAAACACGTTTGGCTATCCCTTGAATTTTATCTCGGAAAATTCAAATGCCGGCATTTCCTTGCGGCTAAGCGTTTCCCCAAGTTCTATAACGATTTCCGCAACAGCTATCCACCATTTCGATGCGGAAATACGGTAATAGGCCACTATCACTTCGAGAAATTCCCCAAAACAACACAACCCGAAGTGCCATCAAAATTTTCCATAATTGCTCACCCCCGGAATGCGTAATGAGGAATAATGACTGGATATTCCAGGACCGACTGAGCGCGTATCTCCACTACTTAGGAATTCATGGAAGGAATTTCTATTGGTGACCAATCGATTTCCTATCGAGGCACTTACGCAGTCGTTTTACATCGGAACTTCTGTCACTGAAGTGCCAGATATTTGCTGGCAATTGGAAAAATCGCTGAGTAAACCGTACAGCGAAATCCATTTAGCGTCCGCAAACTTTATAAATTTAAAAATCCATTTTCTACATTTTCCCACGGTTTTTAGGCTCCGCTATTCGGGTGTCAGCTATTTTGTGTGGGATTCATCAATCGGTAATTCTCACTCTTTCGAGAATTCATTCGTTCCATTTTTGACGAGTGCCGATTTTTGTTTCACAAATTTTGGTTTTTTCGATTTTTTTTTCTCCCAAATTTTTACTTCCGTCAGACGATTTCTCGTTCATATTTGCGATGTCGTTTTTAATTTAGAGTTACTCGGGTAAAAAGAAATTGTAATGGGAATATTTTTTACAAATTTTCAAAAAATTTCGGGAAAACTTTTAAGAATTTTTTTTATGAAACAGAAAAAAAATCGGAAAACAAAAAAATCTTATTTTTGGGAAAGCTTTTGAAAGATTTTTCAGAAATTTAAATAGGATTTTTTTAAAATAATTTAGACGATGTATTTTCTGAGAATATTGAAAAATTAAAAAAATTAAAATAAAAAATTAAAAAAATTAAAATAAAAAATTATTTTAAAAAAATTCCCGAAACAAATTTTTGAAAAATTTTTCAAAACATTTCCCAAAAATACTATTGTTTTGTTTCCAATTTTTTTTTTAATTAAAAAAAAACATTTCTGAAAAGTTTTCCAGAAATTTTTGGACAATTTGGAAAAAATATTGCAATTACAATTTTTTTACCCGGGTAATTAGGATTTCTGGGGGAATCAATCACTCCCCCTCGCTTCGGTGCTAATTTTTTATTCGAATTCAATGGACTCTCGCAATGGAAATGAAGAGATATCTGAAGTACGAGGTGTTGGGAACAAATAAACTTGCTCAGTAGTCAGTCCTCTGCAAGCTAACAGCTTGAAATAAAAAATTTGGTGAATAGTAGAAATTATTCCACCCAATCGTCAGGGGCTTTTCTACTTCGAGAAATTCTTCCAGCGTATTTCAAGGACTAGCCGATTTGAATGAAATGTTTTATGGAATTCGGAATTGGAAACTCTTCTGGCTATCCGATGAATCCATTCTGTCTTCTTTCTGAATGTCTCGCTCTCGAGACATTCCGGAAAACCGAGTTACCCCGCGCAAAACTTTTCCAACTAAAAAGAAAAAAACAGATAAACAATTAATCATTGCGGATAAAAAAAATGTATGACTCGTGAAAAAAGGAATTTTTTCTCATTGAAAGACTTTTTCCTCTGGTGATTAAAAAAAAATTAAGAACATTGATTCGACGTGAAAAAATATTCTATGGATTTTCAATATCAGGCAAATCTTCCCGAGTAAAAATAATTGTCATCGGAATATTTTTTCCAAATTTTCTAAAAATTTCTGGAAAAATTTTCAGAATTTTTTTTTTTTTCAAACGTATCAAAAATTTCCTATTTAAATTTTTGAAAAATTTTTCAATACCTTTCCCAAAAATAAAATTGTTTTATTTTCCGATTTTTTTTCTGTTTCATAAAAAAATTCTGAAAAGTTGTCCAAAAATTTTTTAAAAATTAGAAAAAAATATTCTGATTACAATATTTATCCGAGAATTTTTCCATCAATTTTTCTCCTTATCATTTCGCTCCGGCACATGAACGCGAATCCACCGATCCCGAAGATAATCCCGAATAATCTGAAAATATTTTCCGTTGGATCCGTCATCTCCTCTAAAAATGTTAGTGACTCCTGCCATCATGAGTCGATCACAATTAATGATTCCAGAATTTCCTCGGAATTTTCCCTCGCGAATTTTTTGGAGATCACACGTGATGTTTTCTAGATAATTCATACCCATCCTTTTCTCTTTTTTTGGTCACTACTTGAGCGTCAGATTCCGCCTCCTGTCCACTATATTTCCATCGAAAATCCGAGTGCCTCCGAGCGTCGTTTCCGTTCGATGAATTACGCTCCAGTGAATTCCAGACTCCGCTGCCACGATACCTTATCTCCAGAGTGTCTTCATATATTCAACTCCAGGGCATTTCAACTATTATGAGCTTTTAGAATATTCGAGATAACGATATTGGTGTACAAAAATCTCGGCAATCCGACGAACCGACGGTTTAAAAATCGCCATTTTAAAAATCGCCATTTTTGTTAATTACATTTTAATCATCAACTCAATTAATTGTGGGAACCTAATTCCTCGGAAAACACTGAATTGAAAATTTTCCCTTCCAATTTCTTTATTTCATATTTTTCGTTTCAAATTCCAAGAATTTCTGGTTTAATTGTTATTTTATATTACAATTAATTGTTCACATAAAAACTATGGTAATAGGAAAAGGAGATGTAAATAAAAAAAAATTGTTTACATCTTCTTGTGGTTGATATGTCAATTCTTCAAATTTAATTCCGTACAAAATTCCTTTTAAGTCCAATTATTTTAATTATAAATATCGAAATTATTGAAATAAACAAATCTGATCCTTCAAATAAATTTTCGAAATTCCTTTTAAATTCAGTTTTCTCGATTAAATGTCTAGATAAAAATAATAACATTTCCTCGAATTCGAAAAAACCAGAATTTTATTCTCGATTCATAAAAAAATAATCATTATCACCATTACAATTATTTTAATTTATCAAACGAAAAATTCCCTCACCCAAATTATCCCCTCCCTCCGCATAAAAACTCCACATTGAATCGAAAGCGTGTCGACATCGATCGATAGATCAAAATTCATTGAACCGTTCAAAAGGTGTCCAAAGATCCCCACCCAATCACTCATCACATTGAAATGATCATTTTATTTCCCGAAAATTGTTGAACCACATGCGCAAAATGATAAAACACGAGCATCAGTTACGCAATCTACAACGATAAATTAGAGAGAATTATTTCTGCGTTGAATGCGCAGAAATAATTCTCAGTGCTAGAGAAATCGTAATAACGATCTGTTGACATTGATTATTGATCGTCATGGCGCTACGAAAATTTGGGAAAGGGAAATCATCTGTGTAACTTGTGTTATCTTATATTTTCATTCTGTCTCCAGCTACAGTATCGTTGTAGTGCGTGTCCAGATAATATCGTTGAAGCGATACAAATTATAGCTTCGGTTGGAAAATTCACCCCAGTCATTAGTCGTGTGTGCATCCCCGTAACCTGACACGTGGAATCATGTGGCCTCTTTTAACATCACGCCATGTGCATTTCTATTAATCACCAGCTCTAATTGTCTTTCACCGATTGCTGTACATTAGGCTAATCAAATTAGGTGTATTATCACTGAATTGATTGGACTGGTTTAATTGCCTTTGGACTACCTGAATTGTTTATCAGAAAATAACCGTTTTTTTCCCGGTGGTGTCATGTGATGTGAAATTTTTCGTATTTTTTTTCATATTTTTAGCGAGGGAAAGAACAGGAATTTTGTGACGGCGTTTTGAGGACTTTTTGGCCTTCAGGTGATGGAAAAATTTATTGAAATTAAATTTTAGTGGAGGACAGGGTTGATAAAATTTATTCCGTCATTTTGTTTTAGTATCGGTTTAATTCACAAATTTTTGGATTGACGAGTTTTCCGTGGGTAAAAAAATGGAATCGGAATATTTTTTTCAAATTTCCCAAAAAATTTCTGGAATACTTTTCAGATTTTTTTTTGTGAAACAGAAAAAATATCGGGGAACAAAAGAATTTTATTTTTGAGAAAGGTTTTGAAAAATTTTTCCAAAATTTAAATAGGAATTTCTTTTAGAATATTGAAAAATTAAAAAAGTACCAACACAACAGTATAACAATAAATAAATAAAAAACATAAATATTGTTTTGTTTCCCAGTATTTTTTTGAAAATTCCAAAAAAACATTCCGATTACAATTTTTTTTACACGGGTCCGTTCATGTTTAAAAAATTTAATTATTATTTATAGAAAAGTCTGAAATGTTCGAAATCAATCGATTGATGGACAAATTCGATTTAAAAAATAGGTGAAATAAAAAAACAAATTATTGTTCCGCTTTTTCCTGGGTTTGAGAACTTTACTGTCATTTTGAGGCGCATGTAGATAGAGTCCACCAATTCGACATAAATCATTAGCATCACGCTCATAATAGCCGCACATAACACGTCTCTTACGCTAGTGCCTATAAATAGTTATAAGTGCACTTATACTCAACAATACCCGCATAAAAAAAAATTGTAATCGGAATTTTGAAAAAAGTAAATTGAAACGAAAAAAAAATCGGGAAACAAAACAATCGTATTTTTGGCAAATGTTTTGAAAGATTTTTCAAAAACTTGTTTCGGAAAATGTTTTTTATAATTTTCTAAAAATTTTTGTGAGTATATTTTTTTTTAATTATACGGTTGTTTTCTTACTTTTTTAATTTTTCAATATTCTCAAAAAATACGCCATCTAAATTATAAAGAATTATCCTATTTAAATTTTTGAAAAATTTTTCAAAACCTGTCCCAAAAATAAAATTCTTTTATTTCCCCATTTTTTTTCTGTTTCATTAAAAAAAATTCTCAAAAGTCTTCCAGAAATTTTTTGAACATTTGAAAAAAATATTCCCATTACTTTTTTTTAAACCCAGGTAGGCACATAATAGTCCCCATTTCTCCACATTAAGGCCCAATTATAATACCGCCCACAAATACACCACACCTCCAAAAAATCCAATTGCCTAAAATCCCTTTACCAATGAAACCTCAAAAAATCCAATTAATTAAATTCCCCTAATTGAATGGAATTCCTCATCGATTCCCGCTGAAAACTCTGAGTTCCCACCATCGGCATGCAAAACTTAATTATAACTTCAATCCGCAATAACATGAATTACCAAGTGCTCAAGAAAATTGGAATTGAGTGCCAAATTAGTCATTCCTCAGTGATAAAGAGGTGGAAAGCATTGCACTATGAAAAAGTCAGATAAAAAAATTCAGGTGTTTGATGTTGTACTTAGCCTGCGTACTGAGGTGATAAGAATATATTTTTTCTCCCACGAAACTACGAGGTGCATTTAAAGCGTGTGCTCTCATCTTGAATGGGATGCAATAGAAGTGTAGCTCGAGTAACTTTGACTCGAGATGGTAAAGTCCATTTTGCGAACGAGTTTTCTACAGCTCGTGGAGACACGTACCGAGATACACTCTATTGATAAAAGGAGTAGAAATAAAGAGATGGGATGAGAGTCAACTGAATTTCACTTTGCAGGATGTTCCAGGATGCAGAAATGGAGAGCAGTCATGGAAACATGACGTACGACAACAACGAAACCTTGAGATTGTACCCCAATGTATCTATCAACGAAGAGTATATTTTCGACCGAATTGATATCAGGGTCATATTCATTACGCTTTACTCCATCGTATTCTTCTTCTGCTTCTTTGGTAAGTCAACTTGAATTATCATTTTATACTTGATTCAAGTATTTTTTTAAATAATGGCAAGGAAATAACTAGGTCAACTTCAATTATTCATTTTAAAAAATTGAATCAATCTCTAATTAATGCAATTAATATCATGAGGATTTTTGCTGAGGGAAAATTATCTACTGAAGCTATTCCGTCTTGCATCAAAATTATACTTGGTACCCCGGGTAAAAAAAAATTTTAATCGAAATATTTTTTCCAAATTTTCAAAAAATTTCTGGAAAACTTTTCGAAAATTTTTTTTTTTGAAAGAAAAAAAGTTGGGAAACAAAATATTCGTATTTTTGGGAAATGTTTTTTCAAAATTTGTTTTGGACATTTTTTTTTATAATATTCTAGAAATTTTTGCGGATATAATTTTTTTTTAATTATACGGTTGTTTTTTTACTTTTTAAATTCTTCAATATTCTCAAAAAATACGACATCTAAATTATAAAAAGAATTTTCCTATTCAAATTTTTGAAAAATTTTTCAAAACCTTTCCCAAAAATAATTCTTTTGTTCTCCGATTTTTTTTCTGTTTCATAAAAAAAAAATTCTGAAAAGTCCTCCAGAAATTTTTTGAAAATTTGGAAAAAATATTCCCATTACATTTTTTTTTACCCGGGATACTCTACCGGATTTAAATTAAGAATGAACGGCCTTGCACACTATAATACGAAACGGTTTTCGAATTAAATGTTCAAAGCCCGCGACATTTGAATATTTTTTCTATCACCATGGAAATTTTGTCATAAATGAGAACCACAGATTAGCCGAAATATCGGATAACTTGATAATATACCATTTATTTATTGGCTTCAAGTCTCCGCAAGGTCGACTACATTCTAGATGAAGTTTTCAACACGGTAGCCAAACATGTCCGAATGGTCTGTATATTTTTTTAAGAATATATTGACAGTTTTATAATAGAGATGCGCGAGCCAGAAAATTTCTACCTCAATGCGACGTTTCAGTGTTCTGCTTGTTTTCTAACAAGTTATTCATCAATTTTTTAATTCAAATTTTCGTTATTACAGGGAGAATATTTCGGAAAAAATTCTAGAAAAAAGACGAGGTGACAGGAAAAATTCTTTAAAATTCAGATTTTATTAAAAATAAATCCGAGAATCGTGAAAAAAATTCTTGATAATCCACGAATAAAAATCTAATTACAAATGATTTCAAGGTTTTGCAAGAATTATTCAAATTTTCGTTATTACAAAGAGAATATTTCGGAAAATATTCTCGAGAAAAGACGAAGTGACAGGAAAAATTCATTAACATTCAGATTTTATTAAAAATAAATCCGAGAATCGTGAAAAAAATTCTTGATAATCCCTGAATAAAAATCTAATTAAAAATGACTTCAAGGTTTTGTAAGAATTATTTAAATTTTCGTTATTACAAGGAGAATATTTCGGAAAAAATTCTAGAAAAAAGACGAAGTGACAGGAAAAATTCTCTAAAATTCAGATTGTATTGAAAATAAATCCGAGAATCGTGAAAAAAATTCTCGATAATCCCTGAATAAAAATCTAATTAAAAATGATTCCAAGGTTATGTAAGAATCATATAAGAATTCAGAATTATAATTTAAGAGCCCGAAAATGACGCACGACCATAAGCATTTGATGAACCGCTTGCGGAGATTTATAAAATTAATAATTACTGTATCCAATAATAACTTCATCCAAGGTCAAATATCACATGACATATATTCTCTGAGCAATAAGACAATTATCCCCCGATCTTAATTAATTCCATATTTCAATTGAATAATACATTTTTTTTTCAGTGCACGACTCATTTTTTAATTTCATTTTTCTTACGGGCCCCGGAAAATCTTGAAAAATTCATTGAAATTTCGTGGTAGTGGCTCGATCCATCTTTTGAAAATAGAGAAAAGCCCACATGTGGTACGACCTGAGTATATTTGTCATGACGATAGTTCATGCGGGTTTATGTAGTCGAAGAATTCTTACAGTGAAAACAACACGTAGCCACAGCTGTGTGTTGATTCGTGGTGTTTGTTGATGCACCATAGAATTCATTTCAAACGCTGCAATTATCTCACCTAATTACTTCCATTCATGCAATTTAATTTTCACTGAGACCGAGCCATTCGCTGTGAAAATTAATTCATTTGCGAGTGCTGAATGTTTTAAAATGATTTGATTCCATCAAAGGCGCCACAATCCCGTCGATTACCCGATTACAAAATTACCATTTCGAAATCTAAACAATAAAAAAACTGCAGGCAATTGCAGTCGTAGTTATCAAGTAATTCATTCATTTCTTTTTCAATTCATTTTTTGAATTTTCGAATAATTATCGATTGTTAAGTCGTTATTAATAATTATCGATTGTTAAATTTTTAAAAATCCCGCCATAATTCTATGAATTCCCAATTTATTGAAGATTGAATTGAGTTTAATAAAGGGTTTTAATTACAATTGAATTGAGTCTGAATAAAAAATTGAGACGACTGTGTCTGGAGTTTCAACAATTTTTTTAGGAGTGCATGATTAAAAGTTATTAAGTAATCTCCATTGAATTTAATTGGATATCAGGAGACGTGCGATTCTTCTCACGAAATGCAATGTGAAAATGTACTTTTATTTTCATTGTTCAATGCCACATGAACGAGTTGAGCTGAGTATGCAGAGAGAATGTCGTTTAATGTTTCAATTTGCCTCGATTGAACAGAAAAAATTCAGTGTCGTTTGGACATAACTGGTACAGAAACGTGACCGAAAATAGAAGAAAAGACGATAGGGGAATAGAAAGGTTAATACGTTTTTCCCTATTTCCCCACCCTGCGCCCCTCCAGTCCCACCCGCCCCTCCGCCCCACCATTTTCCCATTTTTTTATCAGAATTATTTTTGAAATTACGATCATGATTCACTTAAGATCCCCGGGTAAAAAAAATGTAATGGTTTTTTCCAAATTTTCCAAAAATTTCGGGAAAACTTTTCAGAGAATTTTTTTTATGAAACAAAAAAAAAATTGAAAACAAATTTTTGAAAAATTTTTCGAAACATTTCCCGAAAATACAATTATTTTGCTTCCCGATTTTTTTTTGTTTCAAAAAAAAA